ATTAATTTATAATAACTGTTAATAGTAATATAATAATAATATTATTTATTGAAAACCATAAAATAATAATTAATAATATAATATATAATAATTATTATTAAAATTATTACAATACCATAAATATTTTAAAAAGGGAAAGAAAATTAATTTATTATTTTTAATACATTATATAATATATTTTTAATAATTAATATAATAATCCATCAATTCAAATAAAAACCAAAACAAAAACATTTTCTGGGAATCCCAACTTAAAAAGAAACAGAACTCAAAAATTGAAAAACGAGATGGCGACGAATTTGGAGGAGTGTATATTGAAACTGAATGACCTTGAAGTTCTTCACGAGGATGTAGTAAAAGAAGTGTGTCGACAGTTTACGCTTTGTTATACTCGTGAGCAAAATGTTGTTCCCATTACTGGCCCCGTCACGATTGTCGGGTGTTTAAATGGGTTTGTTGTATACTTAAACTATATATAAACCATTACTCAAAGCATTTTTTTCCGTTGTAACAAACTTACAGACAGACAACTCCACGACCTTCAAAATATATTTAACATAGCTGGGAAGGTACCTTATTCGAATTATCTGTTTCTTGGTGATTATGTTAATTTTGGGCAATATGGGTTAGAGCTCTACGTGATGCTGATGTGTTACAAAGTTCTTCATCCGAATCGTTTGACTCTTCTTCGAGGGATGAATGAGATCCAAATGTTTAGTGAAGTTGGCGGCTTTCATTCTGAGTGTTATAGGAAGTATGGGAATGACCACGTCTACAAGATGATAGTCGACACTTTTAACTACTTACCATTAGCCGCAGATGTCCAAGGACAATACTTCTGTACACACGGCGGGGTATTACCCAATCTGACTGTATCTAATATTCAAGTCTTCCCAAGAGTTAAAAACATGAAACAAACGGACATGTTGACTTACTTTTTAATCACTCAGTCGAGAGAAGAGAAGTACTTGAAGTACTTCAAATGGTTCGAACGCACCGACAAAACCACTTTCTCCGAAGCTGACGTCGAAACGTTCTTAAAAAACAATACAAACGCTCAAGGAAAACAATATCAGAAAGTTATCAATACAAACTCACTACAACCACTCGGACAAATAGTCTCAGATAACCAAAAGATGATGACAATATGGAGCGCGGCTAATTTCGTCGGAGAGTTTAATAACTTGGGTTGCTTCCTCGAGGTCGACGTCGATGGGTCTATTAAGGAACACCAATTTTGCGCTCCACCCGTGTCTGCTATGCCACCTGACTGGAAGCCACTTAGAGACGAACTTCCAAGAGCCGTACCAGATTTCTTCTCGTAATTTTCAAAGCTTTGTCGTATTTTGTTTTTTAAATTGTTTTTCTTTTTTGATATTGTAAATATGTTATTAATAATGTTATTAAATTTGTTATTAAATATGTTTTTCATCTCTTTGAAAAAAATGGGATAGATCTTGAATTGTAAGATCGGACATGAACATGATACAATTCAGCATTCCACCAATCGACTTCGAGGGACAAAAAATTTTGGACAGAGCTACCAACTGGATTGTACCTCTAATGACTGTTTGTTAGACGCAATTTTCTCGATTTATTGATGAGCGGGTCACAAATTGTGAAACAAAAAAAATAGTTTGGAAAACTATAAAATATAATTTTAAATTAACGAGTAGATTTTTGCGTTTATCGTTGGGTTGGTGTTCCAAGACGTGTTTGTGATGCTCTACATTGATGGGATAGGACTTGCATTTCTGTTGGTAGCGTTCGCATTACCGATGCCGTATATGACGGCACATTATCTTCAGTGGCAACCCGTCGGTACTCAACAAAAGAAATCTAAAAAGGCGAAAAATGAGTGAAAAACATTTTATTGTTTTGTTTTTAGTTTTACAAAACGAGATATTAAACATTTTTAATTCTAATACCAAACGCTATATATTATGGTTTTTTATTATAATTTTTTTATTATAAAAATCCAATTCTATTGTACAAAAAAATATAATAATTTTATAGATTTTTTGTTATAAAACTTTTTATTATCAAAAAAATAAGAGTAAAAAGTTTTTTATAATTTTTAATTATTATACAAATATTAAATTCATGGCACAAGATTAATAGATTAATTAATTAATACATACTATTACAATTGAACTCATCTTCTGGTACAACAACGAATCTTGAGTAAACATTGTTGTATCTAAATGAAACGAACGTGATCATCTTGTTGATGTTTGAACAGTGATCGCTCTGAATTTGATCGTTAAACTTTTTTATATCGGAGTCAATTTTTTTAGTTGACTTGTTGATGATGAGTCTGTCGCTCTTTTCTCTTAAGAGACAGTTAAGTGTAGTGAATTGGATGTAGACTTGTCTCGGTACTGTTCCGAAGTATTTAGTGATCAACTTTGATTTAAGTATTCTGAAGAAGTCAATTCGTAACACATCTATTTCTTTCATTGAACGTCTCAATGTATCAATTTGGTTGAACTCGAGTAAAGGAAGATTTCCAATGAGTTTAGTCCAGGAGTCTAGAGTCTTGCAATAGACTGTACATTGCTCGTAGAATATTTTTTGAATCAAAGTACATTCATACCTTCCACATGACAAATCGAAGTCGAGTCTTGAGAGTACTTTCCATGATTGAATAAGAAGGTTCAAATATTCAATTTGGGTTGCATCACATTGCAAGCAATTTACATAGTGATTAGCACTTTCAAAGTGACTTAAGATGTCACAATACGCTTCAAAATAGTCACACAGTATTAATGTGACATATGAATTCTTGATACAATACCTTATTTGATGAATACTAGTTTGGTTGTGTTTTAAGTACTTTACAAACAATGGTCCTTTTTCACTTGTTAGTACATCAAACACTACTTCAAGCAACTTGAACGTTTTTTGAACAGAGAGTTTGACGTGGAATTTACTTAAAATATTTTTATATAGCATTTCATCGTCAGTTAAATTTTTTGAGTGATTGTTCGAGTCTTTATTGAAGAACCTCAAAAAATTAGAAAAGACGTGGAGAGAAGGCATATAATCATATAGTGTTGAAATTCAGTTCTTTATATTATACCATTCACTTTGCTACAAAGTCTAAATTCAGACTCTAAACCCCTTTTTTCGCTTTCTTGATACCAAAATAACGAAAGGGTTTCGAGACAATAACAATCTTCTGTCGTTATATTAATGTACTGGACAAGAACTCGCACTCTCTTTGTTATATCTTGAGATAAATTAAAACCAAAGTATGATTTATAATCGTCTTCATTCCAAAAAAATACAATCAAATTCTGATACAATTTAATTTGAAAAAGTGGGCTACAAAATGTTTCTAATTGTTTTATAATTTGATATTTGTTCATTTATTATTTATTATTTAAAGATATTGAAATAAAAAGCAAAAATAAAATGTTCTAATAAAAATGCTATGACACCCATTTGTTTTTTTGATAGTGATTGTATCAATTAGTATATAGTTTAATATAATATAATTATAATACATATAAATTTATATAAATATGATATGATATTAAAAATCAGGAGACACAAAACAAAAAGTAGTTTGGTTTTCTTGGTATAATAAATAAACTAAACCCAATGATTAATTAAACTATTAATTAAAAACATATGTAATTTTTTTTATAATAATTAAAAAAACAAAAAATCAAAAAGACAGTTACCAGTGTTTTGATTTTAATTAAAATTTCGTTTTGTGTTAAAAAATAAATTGTTTTTTGTCACTTTTTTTTATTACTATTTCAGGGTTTTTGTTCTGAAATCAAAATTAAAATTTAGTTATTAACTATATTTTTAATATACTATTGTTTAAGTATAGTTACAATTTAGAATTAAATAAAGAAAGTCATATTCTGTCGATTTTTTTTCAAGTTATTTTTTTAATGATTTTAATAATTTATTATTTATATTTAAACTTTAAAAATATTTAAATAATATAATAAAAAGTTAACTTTTTAAATAATAATAGTTTCAACTCATTTAAACTAAACTTTATAGCTTTATTATAATTTTTTTAAACCGATATCTTTAAACTAAAACTAATTTTATTATTTTAATTATATATACTGGATTGATTATATTATATATAATACAACATTTAATTATATAATTAAATCATTTTTAATTATTCGATAGCAGTGTGGAAAACGGGATTCTATCAGCGCGTTCAATATGGAAAAACCAAGTTTTTTCCGTGCATGAGGAATAAATATTTATTATTAATTTATAGTTTTTTTGTTATAATTATAGTTACATCAACGCTCAAAGAGACGCTTTCTTGACACGTTGCATATACTTGAAACTATTTACCAATCTAAAATAATGGTAAATGTTTAAAAGTAAATAAAGTTGAGTTTTTTGAAGAATAGTTTTGTGTGGTTTTGTAAATAATTTTTAAAAAAATTCATTATTACATAAAAATAAATCATTAGTTCATTTAACCATAAATTTAATTATTGGTAAAGTCGACTGTATTTTGTCAATAAAAACATAAAATAGTCAATAAAATCATTATAACAATGAAAAACATAAAAGGAACATTTTAAAAAACAATGCAAAAACCAAACTAAAATAACAAACTCAAAAATCAATGTTAAAGTCACAAAAAGAATTTTGTTACACCGATACAGAAAAAAATTCTGAATTTGACGAAGTGTACACGAGAAAATTTTTCTTCTTTTTAGATGGTAAGAATTGTTCGTGCATACTCTGTGGATATTCACATGAAGTAGATGCAAAAGTAAAATGGGACTGTACCAGACACTTCTGGAGTCATGGTCGTCCACAGGCTTCTGAAATTGTCATGAACAAAATAAACGAACTCTATAAAAAGGTGTACCAAACAAACAAAAACAATGGAAGTACAACCGAAAAAATAAAACGTTCATTCAAATGTGCTTTTGATTTAAGCAAAAAATTTCTTCCTCTCGCTGTCGGAAAAGTAATCGCAAAACAACTCAAAGATAAAGACCAACACAATTCAACTCCTCTATCTAAAACAACTCTCGCAGAAAGAACCCTTTTAATTGGAAATAATTTGGATGAAATGATGAGGAACGTGTTGTCAACGCGTATCGCCACTTCTTTTTGTGTGGATACCACAACGGATTGGGGAGGTGATGATTATATTATATTATTTGTAAGATACACCGATGTAAAGGTTAACATCAACATGTCAATTTTGGACTTTCAAAAATGTTGGGAAAAATCTGGTGAAATAATTGCAAAACAAATATTATATATCCTTCATAAATATATTGACTTAAACAAAATTGCGGGTTTGACGGGATACTCTTGCGCTTCAAACTTTGGTAAATATAATGGTGCACTTGTGGTTTGTAGTGAGGGGATAAAAAGATCATGTTTAGTTGCATGTGAAATCAACGAAATAAATCTTATTAAATGTTTTATTCACCAAGAAGCATTATGTGCCAAAAGTATGATAACAGAAACTACAAAAGAAAAAAAGGAAAGAAAGAAAGATACGAGCTAAAGATGGAGGTATTCTTGGTGTTTCCGATCTTTCAAAAATTGAAGAATTCCACACAATTGCCACTGTAATATTTAAAATCATTACTGCAGTTAGAAAAAGTGCGACAGCAAGAGATAAATTAAAAGAATTACTTAAATCAAAAAACATGAAAGGTCTTTAAAAAAACATTGATATACGTTGGTTTTCAAACGAAAAAAGTTTCACTCGTTTGTTATTTGTTTTACCTGAAATTGTATTGGTACTTTCAACTGTTTGTATTGATTCTTTGCAAATTAAATTGAGTGAAAAACACAAGTATCTAAAAACAGAAGATCTTAACCAGGATGTCAAATTAAACATTGAAAAAATTAATTTAATTGTTCTAGAAGAAGAAAGTATAAACTTTAAAATGAAACAAAATGACAACACAAAAAAGGAAAATGTGGGAGAAAAAGATGGGTATAAATCTATTAGGTTTGGAGTTAAAAACTTAATAAAAATTCAAAATGAAAACGTCAATAAAACTGGAAAAATTGAAAAACAACTAAAAATTATTAAATCAAAAAGTATAGTTTTACTTCCAACTCCAGTCGATCCAAATTGCCCCGAAAGAACACCAGAATTTCGAGAAGTTGAAGAAAGAAAACGAGTGACACGCGATGAGACTTTATGTGATTATTTGTTATGGGCAATATCGAACAAGTATTTTTTGTTTGATTTGTGTGTTTTGCGCGATTTGACAACAATATTTAATAATGTTAACTTGCGACTTCAAAAGAAAGATGAGAATATCCACTACTATATTGTACTAATAAAGGTCTGAGGGCCAAAGTTGACCAAATTGAAAACTCACTGCGCAACAATGATTATTCGTTACTTCCAACTGCAAACGCATTTGTAACAAAAAACAAAATAGAAGTTACTATTCCTATACATCTTGCAGCTATTATAACTATGAAAGAACAGTTGGCTTCAAGGTTTATTGAAATAGATCAACTTTTGTTTATGGACGACTTCCTTAATATGACGTGCATTACTCAACTTTTTGTCAATGAACACAATTACGAAATAAAAAACGAAGTTGAACTTTTTTCTTGTGATAAAATGTTTTTTAAAAAGATCGTTGTCAGACCACAAACCGAACCTGTTGTGGAAAAAACAACCAGTTGAAAGTGAAATAATTGGTTCTACTGAACGATTAAAACAACATATTTATAATCCAATGACACATCCCGATTGTTATTACACCATTAGAATGTCAATAAATGAGATATTCAACGATGAATACCTCAAACAAACATTTATTGTTAATTATCCAAGACTCTCCATTTTAGCATCAAGATCTTTGTCGTTGTTTATGACTTCATATTCATGTGAACAAGGATTTTCCGCACGTTCTTTAATAAAAACCAATTTCAGAAGCCAACTGTCAGATGATATATTGAGGGCAATGATGATCATAGCAAATACAGCACTTACGCCCCAATTTGATAAATTAGCTGAATTGATTATGAAAAGTTGTTGTTTTTTTGTTTACCATTTTTATCGTTTCGCCGTTTATTTTTAAATATTCCCATTTATTTTATTTTTGAAATAAATGTTTGATTGTGCGTGTTTATTATGAAAAGGTAATTTTTCTTTAATTGTGTTTTTATTTTTCAAATTGTAATAATGGGAACTTTAAATATTTTTTTTATAAAATGATTTTTTGGGAAAAGTTTATCTATAAATCCCAAAAATGTGTAATTTTATTTTTTTCTCAATCAAAACTGGTTTAATAGGCAATTTGATTATTATGTATTATTTAATATTTTAATCCACAGAAATTATTAAATTGCCAATTAATCCAAACCTCAACGAGCCAAAAAGTATCAAAACGGCGACCCTGTTCGATAGTAAATTATATTATAACTAATGTAAACATAAAAGAATTATTAAATTAATTACTTCTAGCCTTTTCCTTTCTCTCCATCCAGCAAGTTTGCATGAAATCGAACATTTCGCTCTGTCCATAATTTTTCGTGAGTGACCAATTCATTGGTGCTCTCATAGCGATGTCCCCGATTTGTGTTTTCGATGCGACTTGTGACATTCCAATTTCTGTGCCATAATACACGATCATAGGTTCCGAGTCATTTCTGACAAACTCGAAAGCCTTCTTGACCTTTTTGACATCCCCTCCCATAGTGTACATGATTCTGTCGACATCATGGTTATCAACAAATAGTCCCGATAAATACGATCTTGGATAGAGCAGTTTTCTTAACCACATCATTATTTTAAAGATCCAGAGTGGAGTATATCTATACATTCCTTCATTCAATACATAACTTCTTATCATCATACATCCACGGATATCTAACACTCCATCTAAAGCACCTATATACATCATCTGTGACAATTCTTGGCATATTCCATCAAACCCAAAATATGAGATCCACCACAACATCCCTTTCATTGGCATTCGAATCGTTTCAAGTATTCGATACTCACATCCCCCAAACCAGACTTCTCCTATTAAGAGTGGTCTTGGCCGATTTAAAGCCTTTGCGCGCTCTCTCAAAACATTCCGCAACTCTTTGAAGAAACTCCGCGTCATCCCAATCGCGTGATCGACTCGGAAGTCGTCTGCGCCAAGTTCGAAGAACTCCAAAAACGCATTGAACAGCGCGTTCTTGACTACCGGATTTCCAGCGTTAATTTTCCAGAGCTCTTGACAGTCTAAAAAGTGTTGAGGAGTCCCGTCGGAGTACCACTCGAGGTACTCTTTGTTGATATTGTTATTTGCGTCAACGACCCAAGGATGATAGCAAGACACGTGATTCGGAACAACATCAAGTAAGACCGAAATCCCATTATCATGTGCTGCTCTACATAACGCTGAGAAGTCTTCTTTAGTACCAAATCTACTATCTACCTCGCTGAAATTAACGATATGGTAACCGTGATATGGTTGGTATTGTTCTGTAGCCTTTGTATGATTCTGGTAAATCGGAGATAAAAAGATCGTTGTGGTCCCAAGTAATTTTAAGTACTTCATTCGACTTGTTATACCACGAAGAGTACCCCCTAAAAAGTCATTTGAGTTTTGCTTGTTCTCTAACGTGGTTTCGGTGTCGCCACTAAAGCGGTCGACTAAAATGTGATATATGTTTCCATAGTTAAATTTATCACGACGTGAAAGCATCGAATGACCAACTAATTATATAGTTTTGTATTATATGAACCGTTCCATTTTTGAAATCAAGATTTCGGATTGAAATTGTTTATTTTTAATTGTATTTTAATTGTATTTTAATTATAATTATATTTTGAGTTTTTCTGGGGTTGAGGTTTTTCGTTTTGCACAAAAATAATGAGATACTATATACAATAGTAAGATAACCTACAAAAAGTATAAACTTGGAAAAATGGAACGAAAATGGATTACTCGTTAAGAATGACTGGTGTTGTTTGGAACGTGACGACCTTTCCTCCGAACGAGTATTCGACTTTTGCCTTCACAGGAACATTTCCGTTGACACTTCCATTTGTTGTGAACACTTGAGTAAATCCATCTGTAGTATTTGCTTTTAAAATTTCTTCATCTGGTGGTTGAATATCAATAGAAATACCTCGTGGAGCGGCAACTCTCATTTGTAAATTCAAAATATTTTCATTTGTTTTGTTAGAAAAGAGTGCAACAACTTGATACCCATTCCCACTTCGTTTTATACTAAACGCCATTCCGACATTTTCGTTTGAGAATACCTCAACACGTCTTTCTTTCACTACGGGCGCAACGTAATCAGTAAACTCAAAATCATCTTCTTCAGATTTCGTTTCTGGTTGAGTCGTTTCGTTTTGTGGTTCAGGAAGTATAGTTTCATTTTTTGTTTCTTGTACTATTGGTATAGTTTGTTCTGTTGAAAGATTGGGTGGCTCTTTGACTTTTTGAGTATCTCCAACTAAATCGAAAACAGGAGTCATTGCTTCACTATGTGATTTTTGAATGTCCTTGTCGTCCAACAAACTTAAAATGTCGTACTTTGACCCAGTGCTTTTCCTCAAATTTTGCGTGTTTTTCGCCATGTTAAATATCTCTAAAATATCTTCACTTTTTGGCACATTTTTAGTTTCATCAACTTTTATCGCAACGTCATTTTCATTTTGGAATTTTACAGTTTTTGTCGCAATGGGATGTGTTTTCTCTAAATTCAAAATATCACTGTTTTTTGTTTCTTTTTCATCTTTTAACGAAATTAAAACCTTTTTCTCGACATATTTTTCTCTTGGTTTCAGCACTGGCATTCTACCCCAACTTTCAGTAACATTTCCACTACAAATATTTTCAAGTTCGGAACAGAGTTGATTGACTAATATCGAATGACCACCTTTGTATTTCCACACGTAATTTTTGACACAGTTTCTGACAAGCTCGGAATGTCGTGATGCTATTTTTAGTAACGCAACAATTACAGTCATTTCATCGCATTCACTTTTCATGATCTCTTCTATGATTTTAACTTCTGGTATGACCTCTTTGAGAAGATCAAAATATTCGCCAGCACACCAAATGGTCGCCCGTTTTACCGCACCGGGCGACTTTTGAATAATTGCAAATAATTTTGTTGTCGCAAAGGTTTGAATATTTGACGCCTGCACCAAACTGATCATTTTCTCCGTAATACTATCATCCAAAAACTCTCCACATTGCATTGCGCTGTCCAATAAACAATCGAATTTCCACATCTCATCTGCACTCACAATTTCTATCAACTCGCTCACTTTCTTTGAAGCTTCTTTTGTGTACCCCTCGTCTTCACCTAATGACAAAATCAAACTTTGAACAATTTCTTTGACGTTCTCTGGTGTAGCCAATTTCGTCACTATTCTCAAACACAATTTTTGAATGTTGGTGTCTTCGTCTTGTAACAACAACAAGAGACGAGGTAACATGTCACCCAATTTATCTTTGTGCTCATCAATGATTTCTTCAATTTGTCGCAATGAACAATACCTCGAATTGCTCTCATCAGAACACACCATTCTTTTCAAATAATTTATCGCCATTTCTTTCAAAATTTCATCACATTGTATCTTGAACACGCTTTTTGTCGCAGTGAGACCAACAGCAATGCCAATTGCGCTATGGGGAATACTCACAAATATTTCTCCAATGATCTCCTCAAACCCCAAAATGTGTTTCTCGACGACCAACTTCTCCAAAAGTTTGATCAAATTGCAACACACAAACCCCTGACTTCCAACATCCGTAAAAGTTCCTTTGAAATTTTTATGTAAAATGGTGACCAATGTTGGAATAACATTAATAAGGGAAATTTTGTTATTCGGAGTTTTCACAATTTCCTCAGCTAAACACGTTGCTCCCAACATGAACTCGCCATCTGTATATTTCAGCATATTTAACACGGGGTTGATGTATTGTTCCCCCAAATCAGGACACTTTCGAACAATTCGTAAAGCAGCGGCAACAGACTTCTTTAAAGTGTTTCTGTCTTTCGAGTTAAATGTTTTGACGACGTACGGAGAAACTACTTGGCAGACTTCTTCACTTCCAATGTTAGCGATGGTTGTCAGTGCCAATTCCACGATATTAGAGTTATCGCTTTGAAGGTCTTTCTGGAGGTGATTGATCACAAGAGTCAAAGTTTCTTGAGTCTCATCCAAGAGAAGTCCCAATGCCAAATATCCAATTCTTTTCGTTTGGAACACATCGGACGATATCAGTGCTAAGCACTCGATTTGTGCAAATTGTGTGTTATATCCCAAAAGGTCCAAATAGATCAGTTTCATGACATTCCGATTCTTAAATTTCTGGTCGGGCATAGTCATTCGAATGTCAGCGCATTCCCGTGTAATCACCTTTCTCTCCTCTTCTGCTGTTTTGCAGTTCTTAACAACCCGAATGAGTGCTTTTAATTTAATTGACGACTTCACGTTGTCTTTAAATGTTTTCATTTTCTTAGCAAATTAGATCTAACAGTTCTTATCGGCTTTTTATTTTTCAAATGAATTAACTATAATATAATATCGTTTTATTATAATTTGTAACTATAGAATTCACTTATTACTAATACCCAATCCACTCCGGAAAGACGATGACTTCCTCACCTATATTTCCTTTCCCAAGTCTATCCATCTCGTTCTGAATTGCGCTTGCGCTCTTAGGGAACATACTTTTCAGTGTTGTGTATTCCTCAATAGCCAACTGGCTTAATCCCATCTTCTTGAGTATTCGCGCATACACTATTCTCACTAAGACCTCATTCATATTCTTCTCACGAAGCTTTTTCACTTCTTCAAAAGCTTCTTTGGGTTTTCCTAAAGCATCTAAGACGGCTACATGTCTCAATTCTATTTCAACACTTTTATTCATCTTAAGAAGCTCTTCTAAGTATTTCAAAGCCTTTTCAAAGTCCTTCACCTTCATCAAAATAATGACATTCACCATTAAACTGTCTACCGTTGTTTCTATACTGATTGCAGTCTCGCCAGCTTTCAATGCTTCGTCCATCATTTTTAAAGATAAACTGGCCTTTGCTATATAACACCACCCCGTTACACTTTTAGGGTTTAACGTCACGGCACTTCTAAAGCACTTCAGTGCGTCCTCCTGTTGTTTATCTTCCATCAAAGATTTGCCAAGACAAACAACATTAAACACACTCTTTTCAAGGTCTTGAGCCTTCTCAAAACACTTCACAGCGTCTTCCGTCTTATTCAACAGTAAAGCCTCAAACCCAAGTGTCGTCCAATTTTCCTTCAGACATTTATTGTTGGCCGCTTTCATCGCAAGTGCATGAAGTTCCTTAGCGTTTTTTGTCAAGTAGAGAGTCTCTGCATATATTGGGTATATCAAATTTGCTTGTGGGTACTTCTTAATGGCTTCCCGACATATAGCGACGGTTACGGGGTAGTTGTGTTCGTGAAAAGTGATTTGAGCGGCAAGGGCCATCCCGTCGAGAGTCATCAGACAACACGCAAAGTCGCCTTTAATTAACTTAGACGACGAGACCGAATCACATTTCTCCACTACGGAAGTTAATTGGAGTAACACGTTTAACAGTTCCAACGAATTGTTGTCGGTTTGTTGCGATGAAATTTCGGACTGGAAAAGTCGTCGACGCGGGAAGGTGTCTGACGGCGTTGTCGTCGACTTTTTTGAAACGACTGATTTGTATATTGGTTCGCCCAATTCGATGACCCTGAGATGTGCTGAGAGAAGATTAGAGTCAAGTGACAATGCAAGTTGATAACATTTGAGTGCTTCGTTGCGATGGAAAAGTGCAAAGTGCATTTCACCAAGTAAAAAGTATAAAATGGGAAATTGATGCGACAAAATGTATTGCGATAAACTTGAAATCCCTGTCGCATAATTCTTTGTTTCGATACAACACAGCGATAACAAGTTGACGGTTTGCTCCGTTTGAGTCATAGGCGATAAGAGAACACGACATTCATCGTATCGATGAGTTCGATATAAACATTGTCCATATAACAAACGAAGGTCGGGAGTTGGCGTTTGATTATAAACAAAACGAGAAAGTTTATAAGCACAATCAACCAAATTGTTTGATAAATAGCGATTGATGGAGGAGATGATGCCAGACATAATAATATAGTTCTTTTCTTAATTTGTTACAAGTAATTTTTATAAATAGTAAATTTAACTAATTCTATTTAATAGAAACTACACTGAAACTAGAAAATATCAATTACTATTTTATTAGAATATAACATAAATTATAATTATTATTTTTTTTATGTTATTAATAAATATAATTAATAAATATAATTAATAATTAATAATTAATAATTAATAATTAAAATTATAATTATAATAAATATTCTAACAATAAAATAATATTTTTTGAACTTTAAAAAAGTGAAAGGAATGGAAACACAAGAAGAAGAAAACCAAACACAAAACCAAAGTCAAAGTCAACAACAAAAAATTTCAACACGAGTCAAAACGAAAGTTGAGGTTGGAGATTTGATGGATGAGATGACTGGTCTTCCTCGACTAAAAAAACTTATAGATAATTTTCTTGTGGACCAAAACACAGATCCAATGAAAAATATAGAAAATTTACTAGACTTGTATAAAGCATGGGCACGGTCAGTCAGACCCGGAATTCCATTCGAAGAAATTCTTTCGCAGTTTTACAGACTTGGCAAAAACGAAATAATTGTTGATTGGTTGAGGAATAACGAAGGTTTGGAACGAATGGAAGAGGAGGAACTCAATTTTGAAGGAGAAAACAACGAAGAGGTTGGAACGGAGAACATTGAGGAGATTGAAAAGGACGAAGAAGAGAGAAATTCACAAAACGAAAAAATAAAAGAAGAAAAAAAAGAGGAGCTTGATGATATTTTCGATGTGGATGGCGATGCCAAAAAATGAAGTTACCCAAATTGATTGTCGGTATAATTTTGACCATATTCTTGTTTTCATCATAAGCTCCACAGTTTCGAGTCGTCGATATTTGATAAGTTTTTACTGTACAATTTATTTTTAAGTTTTCCCAAAATCTAAAACTTCAAAAAAAAGAGAAGGATTTTATAGTATAATTATTAATTTAAGACCCATGTTATAATAATAAATCAAAAAGAAAAAATAAAAAAACCTCAAAAGAAAACTTAAAAATTACAAAGAAGTAGCCATGTTTATGACAAAGTTTGTTTTTTTATTTTTTTATTTTGTTGTTCTTGTGACGTTCTTTCCACACACGCAATCTTGTGCAACTCTATCTCTCATTTCAACGATACTTAAACCACGAAAAAACTAAAATAATAGAAATGAGAACGACCACGGAGTGAACACGTTTTCTTCTGAAGGACGATTGTTCCAAGTGGAGTACGCTACCGAGGCTATGAAACTTGGGTCGACTGTTGTCGGTATCAGAACCAACGAGGGTGTTGTTATTGCTGTCGAGAAGAGAATTTCGTCACCATTAATGATCAGCAGCTCCATTGAGAAGATTATTGAAATAGATGATCATATCGGAGCCGCAGTGAGCGGTTTAACAGCCGACGCAAGGACGTTAATCGACAACGCTCGTCTTGAGGCACAAAACCATCGATTCATGTATGACGAACCAATTAACGTCGAGGTCGTGTCTCAAGCAATCAGCGATTTGTCACTGAGATTTGGTGAGGGGTCTGGAAAGAAAAAGATGATGAGTCGACCATTTGGCGTCGCCTTGTTGGTAGCAGGTGTCGACGAAACAGGGCCAAGACTGTTCCAAACAGATCCAAGTGGAATGTTCTTGGAATTTTACGCGAAGGCTACTGGAGCCGGGACGGAGGCCGCACAGAGCATCTTACACGAGAAGTATAAAAAGGAGATGACCCTTAGAGAGGCGGAGGTGTTGGCACTTTCCACGCTTAAACAGGTCATGGAGGAAAAGTTATCTGCGAAAAACGTCGAGGTCGCGCTTGTTACTGTTGAGAAGAAAAAGTTTGAGGTTATGAATGAAGAGTTCATTGAATCACTTATCAAAGAAATTAAAGACGAAATCATCTAAGTTATCAGTTTGACGTATTACTTGTTTAGATTCAATTTAAAATATAATAAATATATGATTAATAGATTTTTTAATTAAATAAAAATAAAAAAATGGTTAACTACATTATTAATAAAATAAAACTAATTACTAATTTTTAATAACAAATATCAGGGACCTACATTGACCACCACCTCTTAAAATAGATTTATTTTTTCTATTTCGAATCATATTCAAATTAAAATTATAGTAAATAGGAAACTGGGATAATATTAGGTCTGGTTCCCGAATTCAAAAAATGCCGAAAATTCACCTCGAGTCAGTGGAAACCGAGTGAGACGGAGCATTGAAAAGAAGGCTCTGAAGACACACTCAAACAGTCTGTTTGTGCACCGTTTCACCCACTTTCCAAGTCCTCCCTTGGCGCGGATCCCCCCCTGACCCCCCCGCAAGCGGGGGGGAACCACATCCGCGTCCACACAGTACGGACAGGGAAAGTGGGTGACATGGGGACGCACAAACAGTGGCTGAAAAATGGACTTCCTTCAAAAAACACTCGCGGCAAATATTTTTTTGGTAAAGGTGGTGGTCAATGTAGGTCCCCAAATATCAACTTTATTATTTTTTTTTATTTTTTATTTATTATTTTTATTTATTTTTCGTATAGAAAACAAAACAAATTCATTTCGGCAATTTTTTTTGTATGGTAATAATAAAAAACTGGTTTTTAACTCGATATCCAGATTATTATTTTATTTAATAAAATATATAAAAATCAAAACAATAAAACTAATTACTATAATAAATAAAATCATTGTATAGTATAATTACCACTTTAATTTTTTATCACATTGTCTAAGCCAAAAAGATAAAAACAAATGAATCAATTTTAGTGATGTTTTTAATCTTAATTTACTAAAATTTACACCAAGATATTTGTTTTGTTTTAAAATAATTTACGTTTAAAAAAACAATGAAAAGAAAGAAATCAAAGATATCCCGTTTATTAGACAAAAAGTGTGCAAAATATTTTGTGCTTATTGTCATGTTTTTAATATAGATGTAAATCTTAGAATCAAAAATAAAAAATCAATATTTATGGTAAAAAGAATCATAATAATAATAATATAAGGAATTAAAAACACCAATTTCCCAAAACGACAGTTTCAAAGGAAAAAAAAGTTTTCGTTATTTTGTTGAACATTTTGAGAAAACCTTAAACAATAATAAATTATTTAACAAAACAACTATTAAAAATTTGATTTTGCAGACCAATGAATTAAAAAACCTCGTGATAAAAATAATACAAACCACATTGTGATTTGAATTTATATAAATTAAAAATAGTTTATATATATAACAGAACTCAATCCAAAAAAGTAAACAAATGTTTCAGCTGTTTGTGCTTTTACTTCTCTTTTTTACGAATACTGATAGTAAGCTATTTTTTAGTGACGCTGTTACTTACACTCGCAATGGGAAAGGATGTCAGTGAAGACGAGTTTAACAGAGAAATAATTTGTGGTGACAAGAAGTGGGACTCATACAATGAAGAATGCGACGGAACCCCGAACTGCACTGAAGACTGTTTATGCAAAGACGGGTATACCCCAGACCATAAAGGGGGGTGTATCATATCATGTATGTATGGTGATGCTTGCAAGACTGGATGTCTTCTTCCTGATGTCTGTGAGATATGTGATACAGAAAAAGGATATACGTCCGATTGCCAAGGATGTGATGATGACCACATGTGGTATGGTGAAGGCCTTTGTAAAAAGGTCAACCCAGAAACTGATGTCCTTGGGTGCGGCGATTTCTTTGAATCTGCGCAGTACAAAGCACTCACCGACGAAGAGAAAAAGAGTTATGAAATCGACCTTGGCTCATTGATCGAAGGTGGAAGTGTAACAGTGAAGACACTGAACTCAACACAATTGTTCATCAACAGATGCTCCCGATACGTCCACCCAACAAAGCCATATACATACGGACAATACCTGAAAATCAAATTACCAGAGTCTTCTGCCAGCACTTATGTCTCGATAGAGCTTGAGAAGAGGTACAGTAGAGACGACTTAGTTTTGGCTCAATTACAGGAACAGTTAGAAGGAACGGAGTATGGAATAGTCATTCAAGAAGATTGCTTAACTGGGTTTCTCTTGAAGGAGAAAGTGAACTGTTTATATAGAAATGGTGGGTTGAGTGAATATGTGTTGTCGCCTCGTGTAGTGACTTGGATAGTTTCTGGAACAACGCAGTACTTATTTATTCACTCGAAGTACGCTGCTGCTCCGATGAAGGACTTTACTATATATTTCACTGCTATGGTACACCCGTGCAGCACCAATTTCAATGAAATTGATTGGAATGATATAGCTGGGAATGGGTATGCAAACACTTTTAATCTTGAGCACACTATCAACTCAAGGTCAATTTGCTCAAAGGACTTGGTCAAAGGGTTTTGGTTCAAAATTAAGGGCGCAAGACAAACAATTTTGATATCGACTTGTAATTCGGAGAACTACGATGTTTCTCTTGACTTGATTGGAGTAGCTGCAGATAAGACAGGGAGCGTGAACTGTGAGTCTTCGACGGAAGCGAAGTGCATCAAGTCAAGAAGTGATGGGTGTGGTGCTGATTCCAAGTTGTCTAAAATGGTAGTGACGCTTGACGAGAACTACACGTATTACTTGTATCTTGGAATTAATGAAGAGTACTCGGCAGAGATCAAATTGGAAGTCAACACGACATGTCCATTGGATTGTGGTGAACATGGGATATGCTCTTCATATTCTGGGAAATGCGAATGTTTCACTGATCAGTTCTATATCTACAAAGACGGTGGATGCACATTGTGTGGCAATGGAAGATTGGATCCAAATGAAGAGTGTGATTTGAGTGTGCCGGGGTACGAGGATTCGCAGTGCACTGCGTCGTGCAACTGCGCGTATGGGACCGAGAAAATGCCGATTGGTGGAGTGACGAAGTGTGCTGTCCCGACTTGTGGCGACAACAAGATAGATATCTACGAAGAGTGCGATGGCGGACTTGGATGCGACCATTGTGTTTGTGTCAATGGCACGACGAAATATGCCAAGGCGCGACTCGACTGTATTCCCGCGACTTGTGGGAATCGCAAGTGGGATGAAGGAGAAGAGTGTGATGGAGGCGATGGATGCATCGAATGTGAGTGTCAAGTTTGTTATATTTTGAGAACTTTATATGTCATTAAAACACTGATATTAATATCATAGGATGACTACTTTGGTCATAAACAAGCCGACTGTACAAGACTCTCACCGGCAATGACTAATTTCTTGTTTTGGGGTATAGGAGCGATAGTGTATATGGTCATGTATATATTGGGTGTTATTATATGTCTGACTATGCACTACTTGTTGACTAAAAAGATCCGACAGGACATTGATAGTGCGAAGATGGTCATTTTTGAAAACACAGTCATTCCATTTGATAAGACTAACTCGCAATATATTGATATTAATGGAAAGGAGAATCCATACTTCAAATTCACACCAAAGATTATCGACTTTGGTGATAAGAGACCGGAGATTAACGAACCAGTGTCGACGGAAGTCACCTTGAAGAACACGTGGAAGGATCCGATGCACTTCACATTCCATGCTGGAGATTACACGAAGTATGAAATCATGTGTAAACCATTTACTGGGACTATTCGATCTGGAGAAGAAGTAGTTTTGAATATCACGTTCATGGCGAAGTGCACGACAGTGTTGAATGAGAAGGTACCAATCACAATTCGATATGGACAGTTACAGAATATCATGAAAGATATTAAAAAGGCGAATCCCGACTTGATTGCGCACAACTCACAGTCTTCGCAAAATTCCGAAAATGCGGACAACAAATCGAAATCGTCTGACAAATCAGCGTCACAAAAGAACTCGCAGAAGAAAGGAAGTCAGCCCTCCAAATCGAAGAGTACTCCGAGTGGCTCGGGGAAGTCGAATTCAGAAGACTCGAAGAAGAAAAAGAAGGGGAAGTCGAGAGTGTCGAAGTTCCACATCTATTTGAACTTACAAGTTGAGTCTGCGTTGTCGACGAAACTTGATTATGAAGAAATCCATTTGCAACACCCCCCCATTGGAGGAGGAACATTTGGTATTGTCTACAGAGCTGAATGGAGACGAGTCGATGTTGCAGTGAAAGTGATGAAGACCGATTTGGTTGGGTTAGCCGAGTTGTTACCCAATTTCATGCAAGAAGCTGAGATGATGGAGCGTATCAGATGTCCATATATCGTCAATTTCATTGGAAGTGTAGTGACGACTGATACGTTGTGCTTAGTCACTGAGTTCTGTCCATTGGGGTCACTGAGGAAATTCATGAAAACGAACGCTCTTACTGATTTGCTTAAGATCCGATTCTGCCAAGACATTGCAAGAGGTATGGAGTATCTCCATCAGAACGACATCTTGCATCGCGATTTGAAGACGGACAATGTGTTGGTCTACTCGAAGAATCCGCATGACCCAATCACTGCTAAAGTCACTGATTTTGGTACGTCACGATCATTCATAGAGTCATCCGGGAAGATTGCACTTCAACAGATTGGTACGCCCGTGTATATGGCGCCCGAGATTTCGAGAAAAGACCAGATGACGTTAAAGAGCGATGTGTTCTCGTTTGCGATTTGTATGTTGGAGATCTGGCTTGGAAGCGATCCATATCCCCCAGCCAAATTCCCCGATTCGGACTCTATTATTCGATTTGTTGGAGGGAATAAACGACTTGAAATTCCTGACGACTGTCTACTCAAAGATATCATTCAGCAGAGCTGGAAACATAAGGCGAGTGAGAGACCAAGTTTCAAGGAAGTTGGTGTGATGCTCGATGGTGTGTTTAAAATCATCAATAAAGACGCGAAGTCGAGTTCGAATAAAGAACACTCGGGATCAACGAATACTCATACGAAGGATAAAAGCATCTCCGAATCCACTGAGAAGAAAACAGAAACGACAACGAACACTGCGACACAAGACGAGAGTATGGAGGCATCAATGTCATCACGAGCAGGCGCTGAAGACGACTAAACCACTTTTATTATTTTCTAACCTTTTATTTTAGAGAAAATCAGTGTCAGGTTTTAATAGAAATGAATAAGATCTTTAAATAAAAAAACTGTGAAAGGTCAAATGAGTGTGTTGAGGAAAGATCCAAGTGAAGGGAAAATCGAGAAGAACCATTTGCTGTTCAAACAAGGCGATATATATTATTGTATGATATGCGAGTTCAGAGGGAAGAAGACGACTGCATATAACCATTCAAATACAGCACATCTGGAGTATAAAGGAGATCGAAAAGTATTGGACGCGTTTGCGAATCTGTTCTGCGCGAAAAGAGGCTTGGACTTCTCCGTTGTTGACGCGCCGAATGAGATCAAACTGCGCGTAGAAGCGAAAGCACTGACGCAAGGAATAGCAAATAATATGTCGGAGGGAGGAATCACATTTGATAAGGCAAAGGCGATCATGGAGATATTAGAAACAGTGAAAAAATCGGTTGAAAAGAACGGGATAAAGGTGTTGGATAAAGTAAAGCTAAGCCAATCGACTTTGAGGAGAGTCTCTGATACTTCAAATCCGTTAAAAGACTCAACGAAAATGGATAAGCCGGTAACACAACCAGTTGTTAAAATAGAGGAGAATATCCCCTTTGACAAACTGAATCTTATTTAATCGTTGTTTTTCAACACAAAGAGTCACTAAGGACGAGATACCGTCTCTTGAACTCTCAGTACTCTATTTAATAGAATTTAACTATACCATATAGTTACAATTGATTAAATAATATGTTATAGTTACTTGTTAGTTATCCGACTCAGTCAACGAACTTACAAATCGATAAATACTGCATTAAAGGTCATCAGTGAGTGGAAAGTGATATTGTAAAATAAACGCTTGAGTCACCAAATTCATGACATCATCGTCAGTCCAATCTTGTGTAGGTAAGTTCTGTAAGAAATAAATCAAGTCGGTGAACGACTTCGTCAAAAGTGTTGCTTTGTACCTTTCAAGTAAAGAAAGGCAACAAAACATGTTGAGTGTGGAAAACCCAAGTCCATTCTCAAAGGCAAGAAAAGAGTCCCACAAGCGGAGTATCACTTTGATTGAGAACTCCCGAGACAAACAACACGTCAACCAGCGAAATGCGAAATGAGAAATATTTAAGCCCTCTCTTACAAAGTGTTTGGATATGTCTCTGTCGAGTGTCTTTAATATGTCATTCATTTGGTCGATCCGTTGTTGTACGCCTTGGTGTTGATAGGTGTAATAGTCTTGAATGTTAGTCAAGATATAGTCAAAGGCATAATACGAGTCTGCCTCGACATTGTTGAGAAAGTCTTTTGGGAGGATATCTATACTTGATTTGACAATGGTGTCCACTGCAATATATTCGGATAGAAAGACCGTGACAAATGGAACTAATAAATCACTCATGCCTTGAGTATACCCCGACGCAGGGTGTCGGATAGAGAACAACAGAAGGATATTCCTCATTAATGAAATGACTCTTTGGTGCGACAAAAAGTTCAAAAACTTATTACTGCGAAGTAAGTCTTTATCAATTTGAGTTTTAGAGGTCAGCTCTGGTTCATGGAGCTCGACTAATGTTTGGTCGCGAAGTTGGAAGTAGTTGATTCGTTTTTGGAGGAGCGTGGTGTCTTGTTTCGAAAGAGATAATGGCGTTTCGTTTGTTAAAATTCTCCACACTTTTGGGCGGAAATGCCAGGGAACCCCTTTCCAGCAGAGTCGTTGTAAATCCTCTTGTTGTTACATTTTTAATTTTTTTGAATGGGTTCAGTCTCAATAATGATAATCAAACTTTTTGTTACTGAATTTGAGTTAAACAATTTAACATACCTTTCGATCTGACTTAACTCCTCATAATATGAAGTGTGTGGAGAAGTTGAGTTATCTATGAAAAGTGTGTGTGTCGTTGTAGAAGTAAGAAGGTATCGCTCTTCTTGTTCTATTGATGGAGAAATAGAAGAACAAAGCATTTGGTTTTTTAGTTGAAAATAATTCATATTACACTGTGTCATTATTATTCAAATCAAATGTCGGGAATTAAGGATGACCATAGAATTAAGAAATAAGAGCCACTTTTGTTTTGTGGTTGTGTTTTTTAAAATAGAGTTTGTGTTGGATTTTATATCGGATAAAAATCGACAAGTATATTATTATAGTTTATTTTATAATACTATTTTACACAATAATAGTTATATGGGCTCTTTTATAAGTGTCAGAATCCGATAAAATATCATTTTTTATTTGTTCTTTTTATAAACTAGTTTTTCATAAAAACAATTTTTTATCAATACTATAAATTCATATAAAAAATCTTTCAGTTATCATAATACATTCTAAAATTATTAGTATTTGTTATTAATAGCGATTAGTTCAACTTTGAGTTATTAATTGTTGTTACTTAGTTATATGAAACTACACAACCTCAAAAAAAATGAAAAACTTTTTTATTATTTTTTAATATATATAGTTATGATAACTAGTTTAGAAACAAATTTTTTAATATACTTTTTTACACAGTTTTGAATAGTCAATTGTGTGAAAATCTCTAATTTAATTGTAATTTTTGACCATTATAATTGGAATATTTCGGGAAATTTTTTCGAAGAAACCAAAAATTATTGTTTCAATATTTTTCCCATTTTTTTTCAATTTTATCCAATTTCCATTTGAAAACAAAAATTAACTATTTTTTGTCAATAAGACAACGTTTATCGACTGACTCTTGTCAGTCTGGAAAAGTTGCACATTTATTAACGTTGTCCAAATATTTTGGACTATTTAAATACTGGAGTCATTGTTTGCTCACTGTCAATGACTTAAGTAATCTTGCAAAAAAACCAGAGAAAAATACAATATAATGATTTTTCATTTTTTCAAATTATTTAAATGTAAAAATGGAACTTTTATGGGGATATTTTATCAATTTGTACCCAAAAAGTAGTAATAAAGAAAAAGCAGACATTAACTATTATGGCAAAAATCATATTGCGACAATTCCATGTATCCTCATTAATGACCAATGACAAAGATGTTTCAGATTGATAGACATTATTATGTCTGCAAAATTATCCACCTTTGTTACCTATAATTATTAATGTTACAATCGTTAAAGACAAATAATTTACTAAAACATACTCAACAGAAAAAAAATAATCACTCTTTGTTTAAAAAACTCTAAATGGACAGGAATTTAGAAAGTTGATTTATAATTCCAATCATGATTATAACAAGCAATCCAATCAATAAATTATCTGTTGAAAGACTTGAAAGCGAGTTGAAAAAAATGGATTACAACAATTTGTTTTAACATGTCATTACACGAATACAACACTTGATGAGTTACATAAACAGTGAAAATAAATATTTGAAAGTGAACACTTACTAAATAGACAATCACATTAAACACCAAACAAAAAATGGTGTGATAGTTTTCTTTTTGATTATTCAAAGAGAAAACTGCTCAGAATTTGTAAGCTCAATTAAAATAGTTGAACGTAATATTATATTTTTGGTTTTAATAAATAAATTTGTTATTAGTTCATTATATTAAAAAAGTGTGATTTGATTTTATTAAAAGAATTGTTTTTCAATAACAATTTCTATTTTTTATGTTATATAGATTTATTGAGTATTTTACAAAAATAGCAAATTATTATTGTAAACGTTCAATATTTTAATAATATAATAATAAATATAGTAAATAAATAGTAAATATAAATAATTACAAAAAGAACTATAAATAGTAACTTTTTATTGTCCTATTTTTACAATAACAGATTTTTTTTGATAAAAATTATTTTCCATTTATTTTTGATAAAACACAACTCTTTTTGTTTTTTTTTCTTATTATAAAACTCAAATTATGAAAAACAAGTTGAATATTGTCAATAATTAACTCTTATTATTTAAATAATATAAAATTATTATTAAGAATGATTATTATCATACACATGTTTTTCAAATCCCAAGAACTATAAAAAATTAACTCATATTACTATAATTTCTAATCTTGAATAGTTTGCTTTATTATATTTTTATTATAAAAAACAATTTAGTTGATAAGAACATCGAAATTGTTTCTTTATTGTTATTCACGTCACCAACCTTAAGTCAACTTTGCCAGTTCTTGACTTGTTAGTTATAATAATAAAACAATAATACTTTGGTGACACTAATCGTTTTTATAACACAAAAAACAGATAAAAAACGACATTTATATTTTTAATTGACTACATAAAAAATGATCTTAATAAATTTCTAAACAACCAAATCAAGTCATTTCCCAACAAAAAAATTGTTTAAGAAAAACACAATCCCCGTTATTTCTTCGTAAAATCCTCAAAGTTTCATAGTTCTATTGAGGTCTAAAAGCGTTCTTCCGCCATACACAATTACAAGTACTGGTTTTGAGTATCACAAAATAATTATAGAATAACTAAAGTGTATAGTACATACTTCAATTTGTGGCAAAAATGAATATTTGGACAAAAAGCCGAAGCGAAAAACCAACTTTATTTGCCAAACTCGAAACTAAAAAAATTCCTCATATAAAGCTTTATCATCTTTGAAAGAATATCCACACCACTTCCATAATATGAAACATGTTTTCTCCTTTGACTCTTTTTTGGACGACGAAACACGCCATATGTGGGTGTCAATTCTCTTCTGCAGAGGGAAGTGGATACACACCCGA